CATCTCAAACGGCTCAAGAATAGGGGTAAAAATATGTGCAATTAACGGTCTATCAAACTCCCCCACACTTAACCGTTTGCTTGTCCCCAAGCAAACCTGACTCAAACCAATACAACTCTCCAGATCTCTATAGCAACATGCAACCCCGATCATCGACATAGGATTTTCTAGATCATTTAGCAACTTACGAGGTCAACTGGTCTTCTAAGATGCCTCCTATCTCTCTCAATGCGAGTACTAGACTCAAGCCAGGATCATGAGAAGCAGTGGAACTAAGACATTCAATTCATGGATAAGGAGACTCACACAATTCAACAACCAAGGACTCATTGTATCAGGTGCTCTTTCATTTTATTTCACTTGTTGGAACCCCTTCTTCTGACTATTTGATTTGTTTTTTGTTTTTTCCTTTGCTGGGGTTCCAACTGCAGTTTGTATGTGCGGTCTGCCCTTATTAGGTGAGCAAGAGCAATTTCTGTACATCTGTTACTCGCCAGAGTACTTCTTTTAACTCCTATTCCTCACTTCGTGTGGAGGGTCAATGAAATTAAGGGGGGTCGGAAGCTCTATCCGTGCCCTTAAAAACACATCCTCAAGTAGGCAAACCGTTCAACGGGTGGAAGTTTTACTTGTACTAGAGACAACTTAGCTTCACCTTGTAGGAGTACCCCACTAAGGATCACTAAAATCTCTTCCAAAACCCGATTTTTGTGCAATGAACGGTGCCACACACGTTGGGCTTACCCCATGTCTTATAATTTCAAATTTTTGACATGGAGGACCAACTGCTTTTTCATTTCACACTTGAGCACCTTTTTTCGATACACAAGCCCACAACACAACATAAGAGGAGTCATCAATACCACATGAATCAACGGTCCTAAATCCACTAGTTCACAAAATTAACCGGCATAGCAGAGAGACAGATAGGAAAAATCTTATACTTCAACATCCTCCATAGTGCTGCAACTACCTCCCTAGGTTGCATATCACCATAAAGACTGTCAATTCAAAGCATACTGAGCAGGATTTTGCAGGGAACAGTACTTGGATCCCTCAATTCATCAAATTGGACAGTGGACTAGGCTCCAAGCACACAAACTCATCTAGCAGTCAAAGATAGATAAACACCCTCACACTTAAGCACGACATTGCCCTCAATGAAGCAGAGGGAAAGATAAGGGGAACGATGTTACCGGATTGAAATACTGCCGGGAGACTGGAAATGGGACCAGTCAGCAGATCTAGAGTCATCAAAACACACTGGGTGATAGAAACCATAGTTCCAAGTGGACAAACCGAAAACAAACGAAGGAAAAACAAACCTTGGTGGGGTTGCCTCCCCACAAGCGCTTCTTTACCGTCTTTTAGCTGGAAGCCAGTAGGTGGATGCTCAGAGAGGTGTAGGAGCAGGTGCCTTCAAGAGCGGATCCACATCGCTCTTGAGGTACAGCTTCAGATGGTGGCCATGCACATAGCGGGTGTGACCACCAGCACTCGTCAACTCGACCTGGCCATCCGGCAGGATGCAAGCGAGCGAATACTCGGATGGCCAAGGTGGTCGAGGTTCAGGTACATATCTCATCAACTTTTATGATTGGTTTTTTTGCTAGCGTCATCTAATTTAGTTTTCCTTCTTTCTCCAATGTTACTAACTCAAGTTCATTTTCTGTGGTGCTCTACTGGATTTTATGGAATGATTAGAATTAGAACAAATGATATTCAAAAATCAGGTATGAGAAGCAAATCCGCGATGAGTCCAGGAAAGCTGGAGTTGAGACTTGAGTCAATGTCGGTTTGCAAAGACTACTGATCAGAATCTAGAGTTTGCTGAACCAATTAATGGTTCTAGTTGGTAACTATTCTCACCCTTTGATCCTTGAATCAAGAGCTCACTTTAGGGGTATTTCTATAATGGACCAAAGGGAATTGAAAGGGAAACAGTCTGCAAGCATGTGTTATAAGTGAGAATGAAATTGGTATATGATATCTTTCAAGTTGTAAGGCAGAAATTTATAGGAAATCTAATCCATTTGGCAATGAGGGGATACGTATTGGGAATAGGGTTGGGGGAAGGCATAATAGGCTTGACCTTCGGGATGCTTGAGATTTTAACATATCCCAAATCTTCTGCCTTCAATGTAAAGCATGGAGGAGAACAAATGTAACAGCTGCTGCAACTATATAGTAAAGTGTAGCCCAACTTTGATTGAAGCACAAGTTGATTAATATTGCCACGCAAATCACCATACCTTCTATTGTAAGATTTTGACCATCTTCCTATCCTACTATCTTTTTTAAGCACAAAATTTTACTCCGTAGTCACTTGGCCAATTAGTCCAAGGTCTGTAGAAGAAAATCCAGATGGCCAAATGTGTGGATTCTTTACTTATAAGATTTCCAATTGGGTGCAATGGTATGACCTTTTCTGTGGTAGTTAATGGAACATTTGTCATGCTGTGAACCAGGCTGTCCAGTCTTTCCCTTGACTAACATGTTGCCTCTACCATGGATACTGTTCCAATGGGTATTGATGGTAGCATGGCCGGTGTTGGAGAGGAATTTGTTTCCTCTTCTTTAATATATGATTTAGAGTATATACAAAGAGTTTCAAGTAAATATGTTCATACGTAAAAGTAGAATGATTGATTTGATCATAAGGAGATTAGTTTACGCAGAAACAAGAAACAAAATTATGTTTTCACAGAATCATACGCCTATAAAAGAATTGTTTCTGTAGGTTCCTGCTGAGAGTTTGATGCACTGATTGAGTGCTGAAAGAGTGAAGAAGAGCGCCAATGTTAATGATGTTAATCAGAGTGGTCGATATTGACTTACCGTCCATAGACGTACTCCAAACTAGTGTTCCAATAGTGAATTCTACTATGTTTAGCTACTTCTTTTTCTGAACTTCAATTGTTCCACTTTTAGTGGTTATAAGATATGAATCCTATGAAGTTTCAGGAAAAACTCTGTTATCTTCTTTCAATGGATGGGACTATAGAATTGACAATTGTTCTCTCTTTTTGGTGATATTTAGTTCTAATTTTAGTGCCTTGCTTGAACTTTTGTTCATTGGCAATTTACTGATGATGTTATCTATGAACTGATGTTTCGATGGTGTGTTACAGTTGCATAACTCTGTCTAAAAAACTCAATTTGTAGACTGAAGGAGATAACTAAATGAAAGAGGAAGTGATGATGGGAGATATGGTCAGATGGGAGATATGGTCAGCCAAATGTGGTTCTATTGCTATTCAAGACTATGTGGGTAATGCATTGTAAGGTGTAAATAACAACATAGGTGAGGACTCAATGCATTTGGTGTCATTTTTGTTCGCCAGGTTGACAATTTGGGAACTATAATTGTGGTTTGGTTATTTATTTCTTTGAAATTATTTATGTTCAGATTCTATGGTAACCACCGAAGTTATTTATTGCTATAAAAACACAGTTTGTGAACTTCTTTAGTCTTTAGTACCACTAAACAACTTTTCTAACATCATTGAACTGGAGTTTGTACTTAGCTTCTACTTACTTTAATTTATTTGATTCCTTTCTTCTTTATCGTTTCCTTTCACATTTTTTGGCCTACGTTTACAATAATGTTACACTGCTACAACAATTAGTATAATAGAATGAGGGTAAATGTAGAATGAGAGCGGTGAGAGGCTACTTTTTACTGTCATATTCTACTTCTTGCTCAAACTTACATACATTTGAAATTGGAAACGAGATAGATCATGGAGTTGTAAAACTAAATGTGGAATTTTTATGGGGCTATCACTCTCTTATTGTTGATATAGTAGTCAAGAATGTGTGTTATGTTTTGATCAATATGTTTCCTTCTTATGTTATCCTACGTTGCAACCTGCACTCTTCAGGGTTGGTGTTTCTATTGAGCTACTCCAATATGCTGAAATTCAGGTCGTCCTCGTTGGTTATGGCTATCACGAAACTTGTGTGTGTGATGGCCTTATGCATTGAGAGAAGGATCGGATAAAAGAAGGCCAGAAGGATTCAGCCCATGCAAGGATGAACGAGTCATTACATGCCTAAGATGAAAACCATGCACAACTTGGGAACTGCTTCTTGCTTATGAAGTAATTCAGTTAGGCTTTGTTTCTTTTATTCATTGATTGTAGCCGGTAGGATTAGCCCGTTAGGGTTTGTTTGTCTTTCAAATAGGAGAAATTCTCTCCATGGTAATTGGTATTATAATTGATTTGGGTTATCCATTATGTAAAACCCGCTTCCGGTTTTGGATTTGAGTCCTCTATTTGAAGAGGCTAAGAAGCAATCAAGAGGAGCATATCATTTTTCAGAAAATTGCATGCATGAAGAGCCTTTGTGTTTATGTGCTAATCCCTCCAATTTGACCATTATCGTGACAATGATTTTGAAAATGTTGTTACTTAAACGTAGGTGGATAGTTAGAGTGTTATGCTAACATGAACTTTATAGCTCAAGGGCCACAGGTAAGTTGTATTAAAATTGAACGACTAATATAGTATCAATTATATATTGATTTTTTCTGTTAAGTTAGTGTCAATGGTACCCATACCTGGTGGTTTCTAGAAGTGGTTCCGACCAATTGCTCTTCCTTTCCTATGCTGCAACTTTTCCTGCTCGCACCCATATTCGCGAAACAAACCATCAGCTCTTCTGGCAATCTCTCCTTCCTCCAGTTTTGGGCCATTAAGAGCCTGGTTATTCCTCTCTTGTCAGAGAAGCGACATTAAGGAGAAGATTCCTCCTGCCGTGTCCTTGTCCTCTGATGTGAACACTCTATTAAGCCATACTTGCAACTCTTCTCCATTCGCACGTGCGAATTGCTCCGGTCAGGCCGACCTTATCCAAATTCGACATGTCCATTCACATTCCAAGAAGTGGTGGAGCTGGTCTTCAGGTAGACCATAATATGGACAATCCGAACTAATTCTCTCTTCCATCTTCTTTATGACGTTATCATTAGTAGGTAGGATGTCGTGCATTAATTTCTAGAGGAAATATCGTATCTTGGGAGTGACCAGAGTCTTCCATAGGGATTCCCAGTTGCAGGCTACAATACTAGGGCCCGAGTCTTCTTCCTGATCTTCCAGCTCTGGCTCTTCCGGAGGATCCTCAATAGCCATTCTATAACCTGAACTCACCTTATAATTTCCATTTTGTTGTATGATCCCAACATTTGTTATCAATTGTACCATTTTGGGGGATAGGGGTGGCTCTGATGGCTACACATTCAGTAGGTGAGAATAGCAATTCCAGAACATCTCCTCGCCATGACCCATCTTCATGATTGATCAGCTGTAACCCGGTCAAAACCCATTATGCCATGGCTTCCTTCTGCTGGTTTATTGTTTGTTAGCCTTGGTACCCATTTATCATCCCAGATGCATATATTAGTTCCGTTCCCCACCCGCCACCTGCTCGGCTGCTCCTTTACTAATTATATCCCTGACCGAGAGAAGACTTCGCCAAGTATAGCTTGGTCTATAACCCATAGTAGCATCAAGTAAAGACGAGTTGGGGATGTACCTCGCTTTCAGGATTTGGCCAATAAGGGAATCTGGATTCTGAAGAAGCTGCCAAACTTGTTTTGCAAGGTGTGCTTTGTTGAAAGCCTCCAGTTCCCAGAGTCTCATACCCCCTATATCACGAGCCTTGCACATGAACCTCCAATTTTTCCAATGTGTTCTGTTCTTCCCCCCATTCTCTCCCCACCAGTAGTTCGATATCAAGCTATTGATTTCTCTGATCAAGCTTCCCGGGAGCTTAAACACTGACATTGCGAAGTTCCCTTGTGCCAAAGCCACTGCTTTAATCAACACATCTTTCCCTGAAGTTGAGATCACCCCTAATGTTAGCGGCAATGCTTTAAGGTAATTAAGTGTGTGTTATTATGTTATCGTTCGAGTTCCTAGGAAACCATAATTGGACTTTGGTGTAGGAGAAAATGATGAAATTGTTTTTCCTTCAAAGTCCCACATAATTCTATCATGATATAGAAAGACTACTCGCCTATTCCTTCTGATATAAACTCATATTTCATATGCAAAACAAAGTGAGAGCTTTCATCAAGTAGATGATGATATTGATAGACGAAAGAAAAGACCATCCTAACATGGACTAAGTACAGGGTACTCCAGATTTTAACTAAATGAGTTGTGAACTGTTATTTGTCAGTAGAATTTCAATGTGGCTATGTGACGATGGGAACTGGGTTGAAGAGTTTTTTTCAATAAGGGGCCATTTGGAAGTTGAGATTCTTCATATATGTGTATTTGATGAATACATCTATTGTAAATACAAAGATTGTAAGAATTAGATGATTGAAAGAATGTCTTGTTTGTTTGTAGCAATTTAAAATATTGAAAAAAAAAATCACTTTATGAGCTAAAAGTGGAACAAACTAAAGCCCACAATCTCAAAGCAAGAATCTCACCTTTTTGTTGAGATTTAAAATGAGTGATTGTTGGTGATATGATATTTGAAGGCCCACGACAAATGCATGTATTGAATAAATTTTTGAGACAAAAACAGTGGATTCTCCAGAATACATGAATTCAAAGAATCATTCATCTAGAATCATAACTTCCAAACGAACCTTAAATAAAATGTAACCTGCAAAGCTACAATTGAACTCAAGTCGAAGTCCATATTTCTATAAACCAATAATAACATTCCTATTGCGAAGCACGAGCCAATTGTCTAATTGTATACAAAATACTTTCGATTCATTAAATTTAGATTAGTTATAAGATTTTTGTTTGTTTTTTTCCTTCATTGTTCGTATAAGGAAATATTGAAATCTATATGAAAATACTAATTATGTTTTCTTGCGAATTAAAGAATGCTAACTTTCTTTAGATCGACGGGTGCAAAACATCACCATAATTAGGATACCCGGATGACTCTTCCAATTGCAGTGTCAAAGTGCCCAATAGATGCAGGATTACTTAGATGACCACAGATCAATTGGGGTGACAAAATGCCTAATTGAGGCAGTAGCCCTGGTTGGAAATTTATCATCCCAATTAATTTTTCATTCACTTTTCTCATATGACTAAAAAAACCTTCATCAAGTTACTTGATCTACACACGTTGGATCCGAGGAACATGTATATGAGTTGGGAGGAATGTCTGCGGCCCGCAGGTGCACGAAACCAACTAACACCACATAATGGGATAAGTGAGAGTGAGATTGTGGAGACCACTATTATTGGGGTTTCAACGAGATGGGGGAAGCAGCTCATGTTCGCGTGTATGAGTAAAACCCCCAAAACATTTGATGGGTATGGGACGAGTATGGTTTTAGCCTCCCCGCCTGATACGCCCCAAACTCCTCGTCACAAGCTTGGAGGGTGAAGATTTCGAAAACAGGGAAGAAGCAGATGGTTCAATCGTGAAACTTCTCATCGGAATTTGGGAAAGAGGCTCGATTGAGTGGAAGGTAGCAAGTCGTCCACAATTGAGGTGGATACTCAACTAATGCAGAGCTCGCTTGCTCGATGGAATCAATCCGATCAACCAAGGACAGAATTCACGAGATCAACTCAATGAACCAAAAGTGTTTTCTCCTAAACTTCATTCAATTACAACGCAATCTTAACCTTAAATAGACCCTAGCTAGAGTACTGAACAAGGAAGGAAATCCTAAACCTATTACAAATTGACTTAAACCCCAAAAGAACTCAACCATACATGGAAAGGAAACCACACGTGAACAAGCTATAACTCCCAATCCCACAAGGATTGCTAATTTCCAAAGTCAGAAACAGTGGCCTCGACACGATCTTTGGACGCTTCGTTCGAATGCTTGTAGGACCCAAATCAATCAGCCAATTCCCCGTCGTTGTATTCTGAAATATGTAGTTTGATGTGGTAAACACCATTGATCCCAACTCGCAGCCCTTTTGTCAGAATTATCCTCCAAAGTGGCTATGTTGAACACAGTTTTGGACTTAGACAGAATTGGGCAGTTTTCCTGCAAAGAGATAGCCTTTTGTCGAGCCTGAAAAGGGACCTTCCACATTCCACCTTGAGCCACCAAACACTCCAACTGATAGAAGATGTCTTGAGCTTCAAAACAAGCTCCCAAACTCACCATTCCATTGCCCCAATCAGAAGAACCAAGTCCCCAAAGTACCCTATTTGAACTCGTCAAAAGACTTAAACCAAAATTCCACATTGTTCAAATGAATTGGGTTACCTCTTGAACAAGTAGTTCCAGCTTGGCAAGGAAGCAATCTAGGGTTGCATCACTGCCCCATACTCATACCCGCCCCATAAGGAGCATTTCTTCGCATATAAAAATTACATTGATTAAATTGTAACCTATCAATAATAGTGAGGGTAACTCAAGAAAATAAAAAGTATAAATGGAATTGGGTGGCCTCCCAAATCAAAACCTAATTTCTTTTCCTCAACTCTCCTTTCACTCTTTCACTTTTTCCATCGTGTTAACAAGATTATGTTAGTTAGTTATTACTTAGTAGATGTATTAGAGTAAGAGAATAATAATTTGGATTACATTGTATTCTATCTTATGGATTAATGGATGTTTTAGGATAAGATGTTTTGAACCGTGTAAAGAATGTTTTTCTCTTTGTCGACTTCATTATATAGTAGGTAGGGTTTTAATTAAAAATTCACATATTAAATATTAGGCGTTATAATGTTGGATGTACTGGGGCGAGTATTACCCATGGGTACCCAAAACCCATAAGTATGAGGATGGGTTTGCAACACCTTCCCCACATGGATATGGGTCAGGTATGGTTTGGATATTTGAAAGCGAGTATGTGAGTGGTTTAGGCAAACCGCCCCAAATCCGCCACATTGCCATCCCCAATCACTAATTATATAATCAATCATTCAATCACGTACTTTGATCATTATAATCTAAGAATTAAAAATGATTAATACCTTATTATGGCCGAAATATACCCAAATAATCAATTTTGGCCAGTGGTTTCAGAAATTAATATCCCGACCTCAACTTTACATCATATTGACTCAATTGGCCGGATGCATGGTTTGACAGTGAATTTGGACGGTCAACACCGTTGACTAACGGTCAATGGTCCATCTCACTGCCATGTCAGCACCAAAATTAATAAAAAATTCAAATCCAAATAAAAATGATATTTTCTTATTCCCTTAATGTAATAAGATAATAAATCATGGTAAAAAATAATAAAAATTTAAAAACAAATTATCCAATAAGATAATAAATAATGGTAAAAAAATAATTAATTAATTAATTAATTTTTTCATACAATAAGATATAAATAATGGTAAAAAATAATTAACCAAACAAAATTTAAATTTTTTGTTTTTGTTATTATTATTTGAATTTAATTTTTGTTATTATCATTATTTGAATTTAATTATTATTATTATTATTTTTAATGAAAATAATTTGTAATTTTTTTTTATAATTTTGGTGTTGATATGGAAGTAAACTGGACCGTTGATCGTTAGTCAGCGGTGTTGACCAGCCAAATTGACGGTCAAACCACGCGTCTGGCAATTTGAGTTTATATGGTGTATAATTGAGGTCGAAATATGAATTTTGGAAACCACAAACCAAAGTTGATTATTAGTGTATAATTCGCGTCATAATAAATATTAGGACTTTGCTACGGTGACATGCACTTTTAGGTCGACCTCATATAGGATTAGGTCGACCTGATCTGTTATTTCAGTGTAAAAACAGTTTCATGGTGTCTACTTTGGAGATTCATATCTTACAATTGGCTAGATGGAAATTGGAGATTAAAGGCTTGTTTTGAAGCTGAAGTGTCCCTCTACACATTAAAGTACTTGGGAGCTCAATAGAAAGTCCAGAAGACCATTTTTGAACCTGGCCAAAAGGCTATGCCAAAACTGGGAAACTGCCTGAAAATGGCTAAGTCTGGCAACGTGTTTGTCAAGCCTACTTTGGAGCTCAATTTGGAAAGCATGGATGCGAGTCAAGTCCAGGGGTCTCTACCACGTTAAATTACGTGTTTTTTTGTACAAAGGCAAGGCATTGGATGAAAGATTGAATATATTTAAGGGTTCAAACAAAAGGCTCGAAGTTGCAACGAAGGCTGTTTTTCTGGCAGCTTGCTTGTGCTCGAAGTCTGCCAGAGAAACAGCCTTCGTAGAAACTTTGACCCTTTTGTTTGAAGCCTTACAGATATCCAATCTTTCATCTAATGCCTTGAATTTGTATAAAAACATACCTAATTTAACGTGGTAGAGGCTCCTGGACTCGACTCGCATTCATGCTTCTCGAATTGAGCTCCAAAATAGGCTTCACAAACACGTTTCCATACTTAGCCATTTCCAGGCAGTTTCCTAGTTTTGGCATAGCCTTTTGATGAGGTTCAAAAACAATCTTCTGGAATTCCTATCGAGCTCTCAATCACTTCAATATGTAGAGGGACACTTCAGCTTCAAAACAAGTCATTAGTCTTCAATTTCCATCTAGCCAATTGTATGATATGAATATCCAAAGTAGACACCATGAACTGTTTTTACACTGAAACAACATATTAGGTCGACCTGATCCTATATGAGGTCGACCAGATCCTATATGAGGTCGACCGAATTCTAAATGTGGTCGACCTAATTCTAACTGAGATCGACCGGAAAGTGCAAGTCACCGTGACATGCATGTCACCATAGGCACACCCTAAATATTAACCCAATTAAAAATCATTTGTCATTTCTCTATTTGTTTCCCTTTTATTTCGGGTCACATATTGGGCTTTAGTGATTACTTATCTGCTATTGGGCCTCGAGGAAGATTCCTGGCCAGCTGGCGTGCTCTGAAGCCGTCAGATTTCCAGGTCTATTTATATGGGCGCAATTAGTCGAACACAGTCTTTTCATTCATGTTCTTTCCCATTTCCCACAACAGCTGCTCTAAGTCAAAAGTTAGAAAGGCGGCAAGCTCCTGCGACGCGCGAGCACGCTAACGGCTCTCTCTCGTTTTCTCGATCATCTCTCCGTCGCCGATCGACTTCTCCGTTCAAAAGGCATTCGCATTGTTCGCTTGATTCAACACTTCGTAAGTGCTTTCTCGATTCCCCCCCCCCCCCCCCCCCCCCCTTAATTACTCCTCCAAGTTGTAGTTCCGACGCGTTTTCCGATTTGGGTTTCGTCGCTCTCATTCTTTTTTACTCTGTTGTTCGGGAAATTAGGGTTTCCGAAAACCCTAGCTTCGTCAGTTCTCGCTCTCTCCAACGTTACTTGTGTTTTCCCCTTTCTGGAATCCATCGAATATGGCGGCGGAAACAGCTTCCGCCGCCGCCCCCTTGTTGTCTCTGCCGGTGGGCTATCACTTTAGCCCAAGCGACGAAGAGCTCGTGGAGTATTACCTGAAGAGGAAAGCTAGAGGAGAGAGTTTCCCGTACAATGTGATTCCCGACTGCGATCTCTACGGCGACAAGGCTCCGTGGGAGATGTTTCCCCAGGATGCCGGAACAGGGAGAGATAGGTTTTTCGTCTTCACCAAGCTGAAGAGGCTGAGTAAGAGAAGGGTTTCGCGGACAGCCTCTATTGGAGAATGGCATGGTAACACTTCTGGTGAAATTTTTGATGGGAAGAAGAACAATGTGATTGGCACTAGGAGACAGTTCGTTTTCAAGGTGAAGAAAGGGAAACAAGGGAGTGCCTCGGGAGCTCCTGTGGGGCATTGGATAATGCATGAGTATTCACTTGCTGGGATTGATTCTGATGTTGTGTTGTGTGAAATAGAAAATAAGGAGAAGAAGAGGTTGAGAAGTGATTATGAAAGGGTGTTTTGTGAGACTGTAAACAAGGGAAGTAAAAGGCTGAGGATGGATGAAGATGGTGCTTTCTTGACTGCCACGGATGATGGTGTATCGTCATTGGCAGATATGGAGTCCGAGTTAAATAAATATTTGTTCACCGACCCGGAAGATGCTGCTGTGTCATCGTCGTCATCATTTTTGGAAATGGTTACAGAGTTGGCTAGTGACTTTCCTTTCTCGTCCGCTGTTGGACACTCTACCGAACAGATGGCAACAGTGAATGGTGGATTGAGTTGTGGAGATTCTTGTGATATTCTTGCTGTATCAACAAATTATGCTGAGGAGGAGACCGTGTCGTCCCTTCAAAGTTCAATCGACAATCCCATGACTTCCTCGTCATCATCATTGATTCCAGTAGTTTTAGCTTCTGATTTGGATCTGTCTCAAGATGATTGTTGGGGAGATGATGAACTTGGATTCCTTACACGCTATGGAGCATCAGAGTTTACTGATCTTCCAATCTTTGACTTGGATGATAACTTGTGCAACCAACTTGATTTTGACACTAGTGCTGGACTTGCCATGACTGGTTTGTGGTAGGTGTGAGGTTCTTTTTGCTTTCCATTTTACTTTGGCTAATCTTTTGGTGATAATTGCCTGACTGCTTGTCAAGCTCTTATCACTTAACTTAATGATTTATATTATTATGTTTGTGGAAATTCTGTGAGAACGGTCTTTTGTTGAGGCAGAGGCTGGGAGCGGTAGCGCTTGGGGCTCTTTCCTAAGTTCAGGGCCAAAGGTTTTCAGGGAACTTAAACCATTTTGAGTTTTTGATTGACCCGGTTCTTCTCTGGAATTTCAGGAGTCACATTTGGTGTTTGGTCATCTTGCTAATGCAATTCCTCGAGCCATGGGCAAGGCAGCCTCGATTGGTAAAAGCTGATTGCTAGGCCCCATACTCTGAGGCGGTAAGAAAGGGATGGTACTTTCTCTGGAGGAACTCATTGGATTAGATCTTTCCATCTTTATTTGTGGGTTATCTATCTATCACAAAAGAAACTGATGGTTTTATCGAGTATGCAGCTTATGAAGGGTAGCATGATGGACAACAACCACCACATTGCCTTGCTAAGCTTGGCAGAAAGGATAACCAAAACAACGGATTTGAATGATTCATGATCGGTTTGAAGTGTTCTTGATTGAGGCCCTGCTGCTTCATATTATAACTCTGTCCATTGTCAACAAATTCATCTGTTGCAATTATATGCAATTTGGCTATTTGCTCGATAGCCAATTTGCACTCTGTTAATGCTTTCTCTCCTTTATTTATGAATGGACCGTTCTAATGTCTATTTTAACCTAATATTGCAGGCAATAATATATTGCTGGGCTGTGTCCTGGAGAGTGCTATCATAGGAGTTCCAGTTCTTCTTCGTCTAGCAGCAAATTAGGAAGCCTGGTCTAGTAAGTGAGTTACGGCGAGAAAGGAGTCGGAGTCTTAAGGCTAACCAGGAGCTGTCTCTCATTCGGAGTTCAAGCTACAATGAGTGGTGGAGGCCTCTCTAGAGAGTTTTCTAGTGGAAGCAGCAGCAGCAGCTATGGTTTTGATCAGTCTGATACCTGTAGCTGTGTGGTAGTGATAGAATTTTTGTATACTGGTAAACACAGTGGACGAGTCATTGTCATTGTAGCTGCAACTCGCTGCTCTTTGTTCTCAGCATCCTGCTGGGTTTTTGGTACTAGTTTGGGATGCTTCTTTTGATGCAACCATGTGATCTAGTCACCTATTTGGTGGCTTTTCTGAATATATAATAAATATATAAGTAGATTTGAGTGTTAAGGTAACTCGAACTTGCTTCTCTTTGTCTTATGAAATGTTACTCGAGGGAATTGAGTGATGATTTGATTCATTGAATTGTTTGCAAAAGAGCAGAACGAACCGTCAGAAAGCAAAGCTGAAGAATGTGTCTTTAATTGTAATTGAGTTTTACAGAGTAAAAATGTTGGTAGAACACAGAAGAACCGATTTCCAGTCTACAAATATTGTACTTCCTTCTTTCCCCAAAGATTCCATCCTTTTCATAAGGGAAAGGATCCGAAGAAGAAATTTCCAGTACTACTATTGGATATGCTCGCTGCACTTAGTTTCAAGGGAGTAAACTCAAAACTTAAAAAAATATGCAGGTCTAGTGATATATCCCGGAATCTAGGGTGCGAGTAATGCGGTGGAATTGGGAATTGGGTTAGATGAGATCAACAGCAGCAATGGTGACAAATTATGAGGCCATTCTCATTGCAATCGAGGCATTCACTCCACAACCCATCTGGAGTAGTGATTCGATGGCTGCCGCTGCAATTGAAACAGAGCACGAAACAAACTCCATTGCAGGCCTCACAAGGCTCAGCTGATCTATCAACTGGTGGAAACCCTTCAAAGAGCACACTGAACTTCCCCTGTTCATTCAAACCCAAAACTTCTTCAGCTCCGCCAATGTACCTTCCCTTGATGAAAGGCTCGGTGGCATGAATTTTCCTTCCAGGACCTCCCAGAGCTCTTCCCTGTAATCTTTGCGCATCAATACGTCCCTCTCGTGGTATCCTATTCGAAGGCTCTGTAAAAGAAACCTGACTCCATTGCAGTCCTCGAACGTCTTCCTTATCCCTCTCAGTGTCGTCGAGTAGAAATCACTCTGTCGATTCCCCCCCGGCGGGCATCTCTCTTCCAAATCCAGTAATGAGTTGCTGCCTTGTTCTTCAATTTCGTCCTCAATTCCGCTGGATTTCAGAGGAGGCTCTGCTTCACTTTCTCTTTGCTCTGTTGCTCTGTTTCAGACTACTTGCTTGCTCTGTTCCGCTGCCTTCCCTGCTTCTTCGAAGCCGATCCTCTTCTAAGCTAGCGATTGTCTCTCTTCTTTCTTCCTCAATCCGGTCCATAAACTCCTTCGCCGCGATCTTGAACGCGGCCAACAGTTTTGGGTCGAAGAGGGTGTTGGAATTCATGTCTGGCCTACGGAAAGACGAGATGTCAATCTCTAACAACGGCATTTTCTTGAATGACCCCAAAGTACAGCAGTTTCAACATCATTGTCGATGACGAAGACCGTGATTATAATCACCGTTTACTAAAAACGTTTACGTTTGCTAATTAAAAATAGGGCTAATACCACTGGAAATACCATCCTTTAGCAAAAGTGTCATTTATATTAACTTTCGATATGACAATTGTATACCATCCGTTAAGTTTTCTGTTAGTAGTTAACTTAAAACACAGTCGGCACGGACCTGGCAGCTGATGTGGAAAATTTTCATAAAAAGTAATTATAAAAAATAAAGAAAATCAAAAGATAAAAAGAAAATAAAATATATATTTCTTCCATCTTCCCTACCTCTGTCGATCTCTCCCCTTCGCCAAATTCCCTTCTTCCATCTCCCCCAACTTCCCCACACCTTCTGCCGCCGCCGCCGCCACCATCAGCAAATCCTCACTCCCAATCGTCTTGCCGTCCGTCAAGAAATGAAACAAGCTCTCCTTTTCCCGTGACAATTAGCTGACAAACAAGAAATAGAAACAAAAATCGAAAAAAATTCAGTCACTATTGGCTACAAGGGTTTCCAATCTGCCGCCGATAGAAGATAGGAAGAGAGGAAGAAAAAAAGACGTCGTGGAGACAAAGTAAATGGCGATAGCAGAGGCGTTGTAGTCGCCGCCGTCACCAGAAAGTGGGTCGACCTTCTCCTCCTCTAGGTCGTCATCGTCGTCGTTTTCCTTTGAACGACCGTCACTTCCCCTGAAACGATCGTCGCACACATTGGCTAGAGAAGAATAGAACAAACTGTTGCCGCCACCGTATCTCCTTAGACATTCAATTCACACTGACTGAAGAACAAGGAGACGAACCGCCGCCCTCTCCAAAACTGCAATCGTTCATCTTCCTCACCGCCTTGGAGAACAGGGGATAAAGGATTCAATTTTGCTGACTCGAGAGGGATTCGATGCGGGTGGAATTTGTGGCATAGCCTGCTAGTGTGGCGTAGTGGGCATGACATGGTTCAGATGAGCAGGCGACGGAGAAAGAAAGAAGAAGCAACAACCCAGATCCGAACCTTTGATGCCTCCACTGTCGTCTCTTCAGGCCAACGACATCGTCACTTCCTTTTGCAGAATAATTATGGAACTTTGGCGGTGGTTGCAGAGGAAGGGAGCGGAGGAAGGAGGGTCATTGTTTTCGTCGGCCGATCCAATATTGGAACTTTGGGAAATTTAGTGGTTTGGGCATGAATCGATAAGGTAAATCGAGGAGTTGAGATCGTCGGAAGAAGCAGAAGGGGCACGACGGCGTCGGCAGCGAGAGAGAGAGTGAACTATGGCTGTAAGGGTAGCGAAGGAGGGCAGAGGACCATTCTTAGAAAAAAATTATTTAAAAATAAATTAATAATATTAATTATTTGTTTCCGAAAAATAAATAAATATTTTCAAAATATTAATTTCCTACGTGGACCATATGTGGACAACACCTAAGAGCCACATAAGCAATAGTCAAATATAAGTTGACCACCGTTAGGTCAACTGTCAATTCTAACGGTCAACAAAAAATCTCGTAACACAAAAGATGCAAACTCCAAATACGTTGGAATATTTTTGTGTTTATTGAAAGTACGTAGTATAAATGACACTTTCGTTAAAGGATGGTATTTCCTGTGGTATTAGCCCTTAAAAATATTTAATTCCATTCGTGGTCACTAAGATTAGTGAAACGTTTCAAATTTGGTCACTCTCCGTCCAATTCCGTTAACTTTGTCTGACATGGCAATCAACTCTAAAAGTTGACAGTTAATTGAGTGACGTGACAATTAAAAAATAATAAATAAAATAAAATTTAATCTCCTACAAATTCCAACTCATTTTCACAATAATAAAAAAATAATACACAATTTATTACAATTAGAAATTTATGCTTCCTTGCCGGCGAAATACTCCCAAAACCACGTCGATTGTTGGTGGGAATTCTTCCCGCAGGTGAAGCCATTCTTACGGGGGACATAGCTCACTAACGTTTCTCGTTGGGGCAAGTGTGCTTGTTGGTGAAGAACATTCCACATTCCGCCGACGATATCTGCCTTGGGAGATCCAAAATACAGTTGTGACGGACATCCAAAACCCTTTTCTTGATGAGATCCCAGCACGCGTCCCCCTGGGTAAGTGGAAGAAACCGACAGATTGGCGAGCTTCGGCAGCTGGCAAACGCGCTCCGGAATGGCGTCGTACAGTTGGTTCCTCGCCAAATTTTTATGTAATCTCCAACAAGCACAAGGAGTGAGGGATTGGACCGGTGAGCCTGTTATCTCGGGCGTCGAATATCCTGGTCGGGGTTCGGTTCCCGATCTCCCACGGCAAGCAGCCGGAGAACTGGTTGTTGAGGAATTGATTATAGTTGCATACGTCATTTCCTTGCTAGGAATCGATAATGCGGCGGATCACATTTTATTTTGCTTTTGAATCTATGTATCGATTTAAAGGCCTTGACGATTCTCGCGTTCTCCAATCCGCCGTCTGGCGTCGACGACGGCGGAGGAGGAGAGGGTTTAGGAGTTGACAGAGGCAGAGAGTGTTTGCGAGGTGGCGGTTGGCTTGGTCTCGGAGTCGGAGGCGGGAGAGGATGATGTGGTGGAGGAGGATAATGGAAACTAGAAGGAGGGAGACAAATTGATCTCTAATGTGCCTCTGATGGGTATGGCTGCTCGGCTGCTCCTGTGGCTGGGGAATGGGAGTGGAAGAGGAGAGCAATGAAAGAGAAGAGAAAGTGAAGCAGCGGCCATCTACCCGCCTTTGTTATTCATTTTGTTCTCTCGGATTCATTAGCTTCCAGAATGGCGGCGGCGGAGCAGCTCGGTGATAGGGCGGGCGAGGTTTCAGGAGTATTTCTCCGTGGAAGGATTAAGTCTCTAATTATAATATTTTTCTGTTTTATTTATTTTTATTTTATTGTGAAATTGAGTTGGAAATTGTAAAAGAAAAAATTTTATTTTTTTTATTATTTTTTAATTGCCACGTCACCTAGTTAATGGTCAACTTTGTGAGTTGACTGCCAGACCAGACAAAGTTAACAGAATTGGACGGAGAGTGACCAAATTTGGAACGTTTCACTAATCTTAGTGACCACGAATGAAATTAAATATTTTTAGTGACCAAACGTGAACATTTTCAGTAAATCCAGTGATCAACCATGGAATTAACATGAAATAAAAAGAATTTTTTTTGTGGGAGCTGAAGGAATCCTATGGAGCATGGCGTAGATCCCTTGTATATGCAACTTGTCCTCTCTGGGATTTGATGACGTCACTCTTTGAGATTTGGGTTTGGAATCAATACAATTAGGGTGTGCAGTGGTGTGTACTATACCAGACCGAGTGCAATATTGTTCGGTTCTTAGTCTCAATAAATTTTATAATTATTGAAGAAATTATGGACCGAACTGATATTTGGATAGAACTAAATGGACCGAATATGGATTCAACTTTAGAGTATTCCTAGTCCCAGCACGGATCCGGTGAGGCCCGATGCAGCAAAATTCAGACTCGTGGCTCTTCCCTAATCACCGCCATCGTCTGGATCTCGGTAGTAAGATCCGTTGCCTCCATGCCTCCACCGATCACTGGTAGTCGCTCCAATCGAAAGCGTTATGTGTCGCTCGCCGCTGTCCCCCCGACGCCATCGCCTCACCATCGATCATCGACTCACTATCTAGGTGCAGCGTGAAGAGGAGAGGAGAAGAGGGTAAGTGTCGATTGTGCTCCCCTCTGTATTTGTTGGGTTCCTAGGCTTTGCCTTTCTTCGTTTTACGAAGCAGAAAAGGAGAGAGGCGCGGAATATGCGAGACCGGCAAGGACTTCCACGGCGCAGCTTGCAATCGGAAGTTTGCTTCCGAGCGCACGAAGTTTGCTTCCGACGATGCCAATCCCGACGGCCGGCAGTTACACTTTAGGAAGCTTCAGTTTTGGGGTTCGACGGTTACCATGAGCAACGGTTACAAATCCAGAGGCAATTCCAACTGCGATCCGTTTCAGATACGCTTGTTTTTTCTCTTTCCTCTCTAATTTTAATATTTATTTATTTCCAGAAATATAATTCTAAAATCTTTTAATTTTATTTTCCTTAACTGCTTGTATATATAAACTTTTCATTAACTTTACTGTAAAAAAAAGGTAATAAAAAGTGTTTTTCTTTTGACCTTGTTAGCTTTTGATTCGGAGTATCCGACTAAGCCTCAATGGCTTGTTTAAGTCCATTCGGTGGAGCTTAGTTGTCCTCCAGTATGGGCGCTTGTGTGTTTGTTTGTTTTTGCAGGGGCACATAGTTTTCCCTTGACCATGTAAGCATCCATCCATTATGATTCAATCTCGTGATGTGGCGCATGCGACAGGTGGAGCGATCTTGGAAGAGATTTGTTTGGCTGCTCCATCATTTGCTTTCTTTTTTTTGCATTTGTACTCCTAGGTGTACAATAGAGCTGCCCATTTTGTGGCTTTTATGGCTCTTTCATCGACAGTTCGAGTAGTTGTTGACTGTCGCGTTTGGTTGCTAAGTGTCCTGTAATATCTATACTTTACCCTATCTATGACAAAAAAAAAAAAATGGACCGAATATACTAGTGATCCAGTCCTTGATTCTAAGCTGTTTTTCACTAATTAACCGCGATTCTCGTAAATTTGGTTCAAATAACTAATTTTAGTGGCGAACATGAACTTTTTAAGTGAATCTAGTGAAACTTAACATTTACCCATTTCATTCAAACTCGAAACCTCAATTCGATATAGGTGAAATGAAACTTATAACCCTATTGTATATTATCTTGTTATTATCGGATAGAATTCTCCCAAACCAAAAAATAGTTGATCACATGAATAATCATCATATCTCCCTCTTCTCTCTTTTGCTCACTCCCAACTTTTATGTAGGAATGACAACTTTGCCCATACCCATGGGTTTCTTACTATCCAACCCAATTGGGTTGGGTATGAAATCCAAATAGATGGATATGGGTAGAGTTTGATGGGTTTGTACCCATACCCATTTACTTTGGGTTGAGTTGGGTTTATATCAAATGGATTTGGATTTGTACCCATGCCCAAATACAAATTACAGTTTGGTACCCAAACTTAATAGACATGCATATTTAGTACCTAAATTTAATTTTTTTTGCATATAAGTCCTCAAAATATCGATGGAAAATTACGTTTTGGTACCTAAATTTTTTTGGTCTTACATTTTGGTACCTAAACTTTTCAAGTTTTGCAAATAGGTCCAATTTTTGCATGTGTAGTTAAAACATCCTCAAGTAAATGGATATCCATATCCAACTCATACCCATTTAGATTATGGAAGCCCCAAACCCAAACTCATCTATAAACCTCCAAATCCATATACACTTCACCCATACCCAACCCATTATTAATGGATCTACTTGGGTTTGGGTATAATTACCCATGGGCGGGTAATTTGCCATCCCTACTTTTATGTTAAGAAAATGTTTAACTTAGTAATGCTTTTTTTTTTTTGGCAAAAAGACATGTAAATTGCATCCCAAGCTTAAATAAGAGAGCATTTCTACTATGCTGTATAGTATTGGTGCTTTACTGTATAACTTAAAGTTGTACCATAACATGAAATGTATAAGTTTAGATTGTACCACAAAAGAATTTGTACCACTATGTTATGGTACAACTTTACAACTTGAAGTTGTACCATCACATAAATGTATAAGTTCAAGTTGTAACATAAAAGAATTTGTACAAACAGTATAGGTATAATCTAAAATTGTACCATAACGTTAAAGGTACAATTTTAAGTTGTACCATAAAGGCAAAACCTATAGCACCAATGCTATATAGTATTGTAAAATTCCTCTAAATAAGAATGTTCCGCTCTTGGCAAAAACAAAGGCCTGAATCGCTCACATCGAAAAGATGTGTCCCAAAATTAACACCGTGCCCTTTAGACACCAAGAAATCGACGGCAGAGTTAGACTCTCTATAGATATGACTAACTCTAACAATCCTGTTCCTCCTAAGAAGCTCTCCTAGCTGGTGAGCGATGAGGTTTTGACTGTGATATGTAGAAGCGCAGTTTTTTATGATAACAATGGCGATTTGTGGAGTCCAATTTCAGTTGAACTTTTCTGTGTCCTCTTTGCCATGCAATTTTCAGACCTTCAGCTGCACCCTTCAATACAGCCCTTGTAATTAGGGATGGCAACAAAACCCGAACCCACGGGTACCCACCCGACCAAACCCGGTCAACGCGGGTAAAATCTGTGTTGACGGGTTTTGGGCCGGGTTTGGGTTTAAACCCGTTCACTATTCACCGGGTTGGGTTTGGGTTTAGGTAAACCCGACCCATGGGTACCCGCTCATACCCATATAGTTAAGTTTCTCGGTATATTTAATATTCTAAACAATAATCTTATTTATGTTTGTGGAGACATGTCTAATTTTTTCTTTCAAATTGTGTAGAATGAAGTTGATGTTATCGAGTGTAGAGTGAAAATACTTAATTGAAAGGAAGAAGCTTTCAATTAATCATGTTATTTATGGATAATTTGTGATTTGCTTCGATTTTCTTGAGTTTTCTAGATTGGTGTTGAACAATTTGTATAGTTAATTTGTGATTTGCTTGAATTTTCTAGAATGGTGTTTTATATATGGATAATTTGTATTAAGAGATTGATATTTGACTTTAATTTTGATAGGAACTTGTTATTGTAAATTTTTTACGACAAAAACCCGTGGGTACCCATGAACCCACGGATACCCAGCGGGTTGGGTTTGAGTTTTTCAAACCTAGTGAGTTTTACCCCGGATTTTTTTCATGGATAAACCCATGGGTTTGGGTTTGGCAAAACCCGACCCAATCCGATCCATTGCCATCCCTACTTGTAATAGAACATGTGCCCATATTTGAAGTAAAAGCAATCGTACATCTCCCCAAATGGTCGTGAAGTAAGCCCCCTGCTGCTGTCGTACCATCAGCTGCACTCCAACTTCCATCACTTTGCACTTGGATCCATAAGGGGCAGTTGTTGTTGGTCGTTAATCCTCTCTTGGTTCTTTCAAAACTTACGTTTCAATAACTATCAAATTTAAACTTTTTATATTTTCTTATGAAATCTTTCAATAATCTAAACATGTTCATTTCATTTGTTGAAAAGAAAAATTCCCTACCAAAAAAGAAAAATTCAGTAACTAAATCTACCAAATTTGAATTTCTATATTTCTTAAAGAAACAAAAAGGATTACTTATCGTATATCTCATTATAACAACGTTGCCAAACATAGCCACTTTTGGCGAAATACAAAAAATAGCCACTTCCGTTCTTTGACGGTGTCAAGTAACGGGCTGACTGTACTAACGACATTGCTGAGTTGGCGACCGTTAGTCAATTAAAAATGTGAGGTGGAAACTAAAAATAAATAAAAATAAATAATTTTTATTTTCTCTCTCCATCTTTATTCTTCCTCATCCCTTCCCCAGCCGAAACTCTCATTCGATTAAAATTCAATTGGAATTTTCTAAAGTTGAACCCTCCCAATTCGCCATTTACATAATCTCCAAACTCGCCATTAAGATCGAGGATGATTCTCGAGCAGAGGGAGAAGGAAAGCATCGTGCTTCTATCTTCCACCTCCCAGAGTTCCAGTTCCACCGTCGTTGCTCCCTCGGATCAATCAATCGAAGGGCATCAATATTCTCCCCTCGCTGCAAATCTGGGTTTTGAAAGTTGGATCTCGAAAGAATCAAATTGGGGTTTTAATCAAGAAGATGAAGTCAGAGGAAAAGAAGATGAAATCTGGGTTTCAATCTCCCTCCGTCCTCCGATCTTCCCCTCACACCCACCATTGCCAATCTCCGATCTCCGATCTTCCACCTCTCTCTTCCCTCCGATCTTCCCCCAAACTTGCAGTGCCGCGACGATTAGAATCCACAATAGCGTTGACCAAATTTGTAAACCCCAAACCCAGATCTGGGTGGGGGCACATAAATAGTAGCGACAGCGAGTTGGGCGACGAGGATTACACGGGCTCGACGATGACCACTGATTTGGAGAAGGCGGTGCGTGAGTCGAAGGTGATGGGGATGACTATGTTATGATATTGGTGCTGCTCTGGTTATTGCAAAGAAGACGCGCGGTGCAGATGGGGAAGCAGAGGAACGACTAGTGGGAGCTGTAGTTCTTGGTGTGGATTTCGCGGAGGGTCAGGAGCGGATGAGGGTGCTCGATTAATCTCGGGAATAGCAAGAAGGGCAGATCGAGCGGCGCGGAAACAAAGGAGGCTCGTCATGCTTCTACGAGGCGGAGGCGGCGGAGATGAGAGGAGGAGCCACGGGAAGAAACACCAGCGTTCGGAAGGAGATTGAGGCGGAGATGACCCCGCGTCCGTGAGCGAGGTGTTGATTAAGAATTGGAGGGATAACGGACAAGGCAGTGGCAAAGTTGCTGGAGATTCTGAGGGTGAGAGCAGCGACTCGCGGCGGCTCTGGCTTCGGCAGGCGTTACAATGAAGATGAACAAGCGATGGTGGTGATGAGAGTAGAGGAAGCTTCTGGGAGTTTAGAGTTGATGAAGGTGAATAGGATTAGGCGGTGGGTGGAGAGAAGTGATTAATGGTTTTATTGTTTTTATGATTTTTTATTTAATTTGATTAAACTAAAGGATAAAATTTTGATTATCTTTTACTTAATATTATTTTTAATATATGAATTTTTCATTTGTTTTTAAATTAAAAATATGACGTGTCACCTACGTGGCGAATGTGGTTGATTTGTCGCTGACGTGTGCGATGATTTGGCGTCTTAGTCAGCCTAACATTATACTAACTGACGGATTTTCTAACACCGTTAAAGTTTGTAACAGAAATGGCTATATTTGGCACAAAACTTTCAAAATTCCGGCTATAAGTGGTATTTCTTCAAATTTGGCTATTATTGGCACAAGTGCGAAATTTTTGGCAATACAAGTATATTTTGCCAAATCTTTTTAATGATACATACATAGTAATAGTAAATTTAGGGAGAATCTGTGTCCTAGGCGAGCCCATGGATTGAAATCTGGTGGAACAGTGGTTGAAACAGATTAACAAGCTCGTTTCATAATGATAGAGACCAGGCCGGTGATCTGTCTGACAAGTGACGAGCAGACTGAAATCTTATTTCCACCCGTTTCACAAGATTTTGTAATTCATCACTACTATGATCAAGGTTCTAAAAAGGCGTCTAGGCACTAGCCTAATCTCCCCTAGACGCAAGTCAGAAAGATAACGCCTCGCTTTGGTACAAAGTAGCAGAGTTGGCGTCATGATCACGTTGTAGCCTCAGTGGCGCCTAATCGACATTGAGTTGCATCTCAAAATGATGGCACAATGTCTTTTTCTACCTTTTGATATGCTACTGACTCGCTCAAATCTACACTATAATTAAACCTCAATCAGAGCTCAAGTTTTTAAACTCTAATCGGGTGTAGTATAGGGCAAGTATCTATATATCGACCCAGACGGGTCCGTCTACCCCTACTTTGGTTGTTGAAATCATTATCTAGCGGTAAAACTTTAGTTTAAAGGTTTGCCAATTGAAATGAAAGAAAGCAAAAGTAATTTGATTTGAAGACTCTTTTGTGGGAAAGTCACTTGGTTTCGCTTCCCTCTAAACCGCTACCATGCTACGTGGGTTGGAACGATTGCCTTGGGCACGCTAATCATGAACCGCAGAGGAAAGCGTATGTGGTCGGGGACCACAGTCTCGATTTCTAAGCTGAGGTGAGGATGAAAGGTCGTGTCACTCGACCCTCTCGGTTTAGACAATCGGTAATCGGCTTACTTCCTCACTCAACTCTAAGGTCGGACGGTTTAACCAGGATTAATCGACTTGTTCAATTCAACATTGAGGATTGCCCTAGCTGAACCTAGTTTAGGTGGCTTGGAAAGCGGAAGGAAAACCAACTCGATCGAGTCTCCCTTAAAAAGGGAGATTTTCCTCTCCAATGCTATATAGCATAGTAGAAGTGCTCGGCAAGTGTGAGATATTTTGTTGCATTTACATCCAACGCTTAGTCACGCCTAAGCATGCTAGGCGCAAGGCAGAGCCTCAATGCTCGCCCTACGCCTAGCTCTTTCTTAAACCTTGACTATCATATGATCAGGGTTTTAACTAATTACGAACTTGGTTGAGTTGGATTTTCAACCCATGTCTACCAATTTTCTACAATTTCTTGTTCCTTTCAATTTTGCCAAAATCCTGCATTATGAGGGATTGTGCCAGAATCTTGAATCTAATCCTGCATCCAAACGACCCCTTGTGTTTTGTTTGTTTGGTATTGAAAGGGTTTGAAATGTGTTTGTTTTATGGTTTGTAAGCAACGGGGAATTAGTCAAGGTTTTATAGACACAACTATCGAAATACAAATTATTAGCTAATCGTTAAGTCTCCGTTAATACTTCGGTTAGATGATGGTGAGTTGGCAGATGCTACGATGATGTGGAAGAGAAATTTTTACCTGGCAATCAATGCAAATGCCACATAAGTCGGTCAACCTTTGTAACTTATTAATTATTAAAAATTAAAAATCAACTCTTGCCCTACCAAACCCTTGCCGGAAAACCATTCCTCTGCTCCAAAACAATTACGGCAACGTCGCAGCCGCCTCTAGCAAGGTGTGGAAGAATTGAGCTGCTTGCGATGCCTGAAAACCCTTTCTCTGCTCCAAAACAATCCAAGCAGCTTCTTCTTCCTCTCAATTGGGTAACGCCTGCGGGCGGGCGGATATGTGATTTTCACCACTAGGTTACAACGGGCGGATACAACTAGACGAAGGTGCAGCAGCCGTGATGGCAACCACCGGATTTGCTGATGTGGACGCCTATATGGATGCTGATGTGGCAGCCTCCGTTACAAAATTAATGACGGTAACGGACTGTTAATCATATGTTAATAATTTGTATTTCGATACTTGACACTATAATTTTTCACTACTTAATAGTTGTGGCTAATATATTGTATTTACCCAACTTTAAAAGACTAGTGTGTTTGACCAATAAGAATTTGGGAAAAAATCCCAAAATACACGTTTTTAAAAAAAATTCTCAAAATACACACGTTATAATTTTCCCCCCAATTTACACATGTTTGGGCATTCATCGCGACAGAGGGTGGTGAATGCATCACCGCACAAGAGGAGGGCGATGATTGGTTCACCGCTGCAGATGAAGGGTTTTCGGGCATCTTGCAAGCCGCAAAGTTACGTGAAATAAAAAAAATTCATGACGTTCAAAATGCGGAGCACAAAGTTATGCCCGCACAAAGTTATGCCCGCACAAAGTTTGACAAAATCGAAAAATTGCTCATTTGGGGGTAGCAAACATCGTTTTTTTGGGACGAAGGCGGGACCAAACCGCCTGTGGCTGCTTGCAATTTGCAAGATCTCGAAAAATTCTATGAAATCAAACAGAATTTCACTACGTTCAGATAACCGAGTTCAAAGTTACATTCGTTTAAAGTTTCGACGCAGGTGAGGTCTTCACCGCGGCCGAGAAACGCGGTGAAGCCTTCACCGCACATTCACCGCCGTCCTCTAGCGCGGTGAAGGCTTCATCGCGCTCCTCTACATCGGTGAACCATCACCGCGTTCCTCCGTCGCGGTGAACCATCCCTGCGTTCCTCCTCCGCGGTGATGCGTCGGTGCATGTGTTCACCGCCTTCATCAACTGCAGTGATGTCCAAACATGTGTACATTGGAATTTTTTTTTATAATGTGTATTTTGAGAATTTTTTGTTTAAAACATGTGTATTTTTGCAAAGAAATTCATGGGATGAATGTTAACGCCGCTGCATTAATCGTATTGGCGGGAGCCAACAGAGCACCTTATCCACCACCAGTTTCAGCGCCAGCATGGCAATATCCAAACCATATCAACGCAATTTTCCCACCACAGATACAGAGAGTCAGAGACCAAACCACCACCTGCTGCAGGGTAAAAGAACCCAGCAAAGGAACGGAGAAAAGCTAGCAGCTGGAGAGGAAGGAGTTGGCGAGAGCGAGAGAATGCGAAGCGTGGCGGTCTCAGAAGGGCGTTTCATCCCCCCACATTGTTCAATGCCGTCATCTCCATGTCTTCTCAACGGCAAGCCTCTCAAGTTCCGCTTGCTCCCTCTCAGTCCCATGAACACTACTCCTTCCTCATCCTCCCGCCTTCTCTCCAGGTGAACTTAATTGAATTCCCCCCCTTCGCATCGTGGTGGCCTGGTGGGTTTTATTGATATAGGCTGATACTACTAGATTACAAGATTTTTGGTAATTTTGTCAATATGTGATTGCCCGCCAATTTCGTAATTGTAAATTGTGGTATTGCTGATCAGGTGTTCGAGAAAAGGGCTCACAGAGCCGTTTCAGGAAGTACTTAGAGGGATGCTTCCCGCTGTGTATGACAACGATTCTCACGATCCTGTAACCCTGCTCTCTCTCTCTCTCTCTCTCTCTCTCTCTCCTTTCACTGTGAAGGTTCGTGAGTTAGGTGATAGTCATTCGTTTATGGGGATATGCTGCAATTGGTCACACGGAGTTGGTGATGGCGCCAACAACAGCCGGGCGCCGGGAGAACTGGTTCGGATTATGGACGGCAATGGGAAGATAAATTCATTTCAAGAAATTGGCGCTGTGGAAGCTGCTACATTACACGAGGGCGTAATGAAACTATTTGTGCTCCTCTCTGGGTGTCTAGTGCTCCAGGGCTCTGATCCAGCAGCTGCTGTTGCAATGGAGCTCTCAAACAGTGGGTTGCAATCCATTCCTTATCTTGGAGACCTTGGTGACATTAGCACAGGTTTCGCCTCAGTTAGTAGAATCTCCTTGTTCCTTCTATGATTGATCGTCCATTACTCAAAAATTCTTATCTAAACCATAAACGACATTTATGTTTATGAGTTCTTGACTCCACCGCCATTAGCACATTTTTCTTCTTTTGTGTGACACCTGGTTATGAAATCCTCCCTCCGATTTTACCTTTGACACTTGCCACTTTGGGGGGTTTGTTGTTGTTGAGGATTGAGAAGTTCGATATGTTATGTTTAGATTGATTAGTAATTGGAGATCAGCGTGCCATTTTGGGGGGGATTGAATTTGGGAATGAAAACATGAAGAGCTTCTAATTCTGTATATTTTGCATTGCAGGCATTCTTGCTGATATTTTTCTCGGAGTTGGGTGACAAAACTTTTTTCATTGCGGTAAAAGACTGCACTCCAGGAGAACTCTTTCTCTGTCTTTGACATGCCTCCTGCCATTTTAATATGTTGCACGATCCGACATTGCTATTGGAAAATAAGTTAGCCAGAGTCATTAATTGGTACAATGCTGGCCTTAATTTTGGAGGTAAGGTGATGATGAGGTATTTGGTTTTACTTGCAGGCACTTTTAGCGGCTAGGAATTCTGCTGCCATTGTCTTTACAGGGACCTTTGGCGCACTTGGGTATGCTCTTCCTCTCAGATGTTTTCTGTACAGGCAAAATGCGCATAGGTTTTGATTATAGAGAAGCCTATGTCTGAATATTAACAATAGTGACTCATATGTGCACCTTACTTCTATCTTCCTGTGGCATGCTGATCTCCAATTATCAATTGCGGTGAACAGTGTAATGACTGTCATATCCGTGGTACTTGGAAGAACTTTCCATTATGTGGATGAGATCCTTCCGTTCAGGTACTTACTTTGATACGCTAGTGAAATTTGAAGTTTACTTGAAACTGCTCTGCATTTTTCATACTAACCAAAATGTATGAGATCTGCAGGTTCGGTGGTACTGATTTGCCTATTGATGATATTGCTGCAGTTTGCCTTTTGGTGAGTGTCAATATCCCTGAATGTTTGTATTTAAAGGTGCCATTCCTTTGGAACTGGGTGCTTGTCACTGAAGTAAACAACACTTTCCCTGCTAACTTGAGTATATTTCAGGTCTATTTCGGGATATCAACATTAATTGATGCCTCTTCAAGCGATAGCCCAAAAGCAGAAGATGAACAAAAGGAAGTGAGTGTCTGATTTCCTCATTGCATGATTACGCTATGCAACTCTGCATTAATATGACAAGATGCCTTGTTCTGAACTAGGCGGAGCTAGCAGTTTCAGAGTTCTCCGGAAATGGTGCAGGCATTTTATCCGCTGCTAATACCATTGTCAGCACATTTGCTTTAGTTTTTGTTGCTGAATGGGGCGACAAATCATTTTTCTCTACAATTGGTTGGTTCCTATGCTGAAAATTGTATAATTGTCAGGTTTTTCTGCTTCTCCGTTTGGCACTTAAACTTCCTTTTTTTCTTCTTCAATTGCTCTCTTCTTCCAGCACTTGGGGACCGGTTATTGTAACAACACCCTTTGTGTTGTTATTGTAACAACACTAGTCCCCAACCAATAGGAAGCTAGGATTGTGATGACTTTTTATTAGATGAGTTGACCTAGTGTAAAATCAAAGCAGGGGTATAATTGTCATTATGAAAAACCTGTTTAAATAATAAAAATAAAAATAAAAAAATAAAAAATAAAAAAAAATATTTTTTTATTTCTGCCCAAAAATTTGGTCGTCGGAATTCGGTCATCGGTCGCCGGAATCTGGGCGCCGGTCACCGGAATATGCTTTTTTGTCGCCGGAATATGCTTTTTTGTCATCGGAATATGCTCACCGTCGCCGGAATATGCTTACCGGCGTCGGAATATGCTTACCGGCATCGGAATCTAGTCATCGGGGCCGGAATATGCTTATCGGCACCGGAATCCGGTCACTAACGTTCATCGGAGTTTGGTCAACGAACTTCGTTGACCGGTCAACGGTCTTCGTTGACCGGTCAACGGTCAACGACCACCGGATGTATGGTCTACATTGTGAGATTTATGGTTTGGTTTCTCACATTTTTGTATGCCTTTTGTGGTTTGCTTTATCGCGTTTGTGGTTTGCATTACGAAGTTCCTGGTTTGCTTTATCGTGTTTGTGGTTTGCATTGAGAAGTTTCTGGTTTGCTTTCAAAAACTTTGTGGTTTGCATTGTGGGGTTTTTGGTTTGTTTTAGGAGATTTGTGGTATGCATTAGGAGGTTTCTGGTTTGTTTTTGTGGTTTGCTTTAACGTGTTTGTGGTTTGCATTCTGAGGTTTCTGGTGTGTTTTTGAAAATTCTGTGGTTTGCTTTGTGAGGTTTCTGGTTTGTTTTAATAGATTTTTGGTCTGCATTAGGATGTTTCTGGTTTGTTTGTGTGGTTTGCTTTATCGTGTTTGTGGTTTGGATTATGAGGTTTCTGGTGTGTTTTTGAAAATTCTATGGTTTGCTTTATGAGGTTTTTGGTTTGCTTTAATAGATTTTTGGTCTGCATTAGGATGTTACTGGTTTGTTTTTGTGGTTTGCTTTATCGTGTTTGTGGTTTGCATTATGAGATTTTAGGTGTATTTTTTATTTGTTTTATCGTGTTCGTGGTTTGTATAAAAAAGTTTCTGATGTGCTTAAAACATCAAATTTAAATTATATTCCAAATCAATTAAGAGATAAACACTCAAATTGCTAATAGTAACCGTACCAGTGACCAAAAAATCCCCAAATCCAACAATCAAATTTCGAATCCCCCTTCTTCCCCATCTCCAAAATCCTAAAAAAATCCCTCAAATATGTTGTCCATCCCAGAAGAGCCGCTCCTGGCCCCAAACCCTGACTGCTTCTGCATGTTCCCCATCGAGTACCCACAGATCTGGATTGAAGACTGCTCGTCTGAAGCGCATGAGCGACCTAGCGGTGAGGAAATCCTGTCTCGGTTGCTTGATTGCAAGTATTCCCTTTGCTGATGAAACCCATAAATAGGAAAAGGCAGACTCCATTTTCTTGTGTACAGGTGAAGAAAACCCAAAAAGAAAGCGCGATATTGTTCTCCCTCGGCAGCTCAAGATTGTAAACGTTTTCGTTCTTTGTTTTCCGAAGCACTTCCATTCCATGTCGTCCCAGAATGAAGTATTCCAATTTTGCATGTTATGTAGTAGAAATTACAACGCTGAATCGGCTCTCATTCATTTCTCCCTATCTTCGTCAAACACAAAATGAGAAAGTTTGCTCTTATTCTTGATACAACGTACCCAACTGATTATTACAAACAAGGCAGCTGAGCATCCCCAGAAATGTCACAGCATAAAAGTTCACTATGATGGAATCCAATTGGAACTTTTACTGCTAGAACAAGTGAATTGGTGATGGGTTCAGTTCTAGGGTGTAAAATGGTTACCAGCCATGGACGAGGGATACAATAAAGAACAAGAACGAGCCTTGTTGTTAATCAACACCAGCAAATGTCCATGATCAAGACTACCAGAGGAGTACACCTTCTTCGAACCGATTCTGAGTGCTAGTTGCACCATGCTTCTTGAACGGTCAATCATCAGCTGCTCCTCAAAACAAGACATGGTCGAGCCATTGGCGTTCCTCTCGCCGTTCATCTCCGCCACTTCTTCCTTAATCCCCGATCCATCCGACGATCGCGCAAGCCTCTCGCGAGAAAGGAGGACGACGACGAAGCGCCGCCACATCTTCCTCCTCCTCCGCCTTCGCTCCACCGTCGCGACGCTCTTCAATTGGAGGACGATTTTCTCCGAATCGACCTCGATGGATGGGATTGGAAGAAGAGAGAGCTTGTTCGAGGACCACTGCCATCTCAGCCACGATTTGGCGTCGATGAAGACGAACGAGGCGGAGAGACCTGACCGCGATGGAGATTTTCAACTGCGCGGATGGTGCCGCCGCCCAGGAAGGCCGCGTCGGAGCGTTTTGCTCCTGATGGCGCCGGCGATGGGAGAGATGAGGATTGGCACGGCGATGGCAGAGGATTGGCGCCGGAGAAAATTGTTGTTCGGAGGTACAGATTCGGCCGTCCCTGTTGCTGGAGAGACAGGGAGATAAAAACACGTTTAGGTATTTAGATTTTGTTTATTTATTTATTTATAATCTGTTATTTATTGCCGTTTTACTCTTATACCCTTGTTGTTAGTATAACAACACTTGAGGTGTTGTTATACTATCCGGAGCCCAGCACTTGCTGCTGCATCTTCCCCTCTTGGTGTCATTGCTGGAGCTCTGGCTGGTCATGGTGTTGCAACCTTGGTACATAACACTTGAAACAAAACTGCATATACCAAAGTGGCTGTAGTACTACATATATGCATCAAATGCTTTATGAAACCACAAGTTCATATCATTATTCATTACATACCATAATCTAGGACGCCATAGTTGCATTGATTCATGAATTCATTCTTTTGCAGATTGCTGTCTTGGGAGGTTCTTTACTGGGAACAATCCTATCAGAGAAGGTACAGAAACTCTTGAAACCTCAACTTTGTTTGATATGCATATCTTGAAATAAAATGCCTGTTTCATAACTTGGAATTTCATTATGTACTAAAAGTGAAAACCCATAATATGCTAATGACATTTTGACGAGTGACATGTGATCCTCTTCTTGGTCCCCAAAAAAGAGTTCCTGACTGAAAAACTCAAAGGTAGGGGTGTTCAAACGGTGTGGTTACCGTCGTAACCATTTTAACCAGTAGTATTTGGATGATTTGGTTTGGTTAATTTCGATAATTGGTTTGGTTTGGTTAAAAAATTTAGCTTGTTTGGTTTAGGTGGTTTGATTTGGTTTCAGGCACTCCTAACCAATCAAACCAAATTAACCAGTTAAGTAATTTGTCATATTTCTAATATATATTATATACACATACTTAATACTTTGCATAACCACTCAAGAGTCAAATGTAAGATAATTGTATTTGTTACAGGTATTTACGTTAAGGGTTAACTACAATTATGTGGATTGTTATGTGTTGTTCATTATATAAATTGCAAATTAATGCACTAACTGAAAATTATTCTCACTTAATAATAATGTGGTGTTATAGTAGTTATTTTGGTTAACCAATTAACCAAACCGAATAAACTTTAGTTTGGTTAATTTGGTTGTTGTATTAGTTTGGACGGTTTGGTTATGATATGGTATTCCATGGTTGATAGATTTTAGATTTATTTGGTTTGGTTATTACCATGGTAACCATTTGAACACCCCTACTCAAAGGTGCCATCGGCATCTTAACTCTCAACCATTCAAGTTGTCACCCAACCCTCATCAGTCTTTTGCCCTTTGAATACTGATTTTCCATTATACCGAAAGAAAAAGACAATCCTAGATGAAGACCAATAACCAGAGTTATTGTGAGTGGAAGAACCATGAACCAAGTACAAAGAACCCAACCACAAAATGCCTTGTGTCTAGTACTCTCTTCTTTTTTCTACCACCAACCCTATAATGTTTGTAAACTCTGATCACCTTACGACAGGCTGAATTCAGAGCAGCATATAATAACATCCGCTGCTGGGCTGGAATATATGTTGTAGATCTTTTACACTTCTCATAATCTGCAACAAGTACACGTGCTTGTACAGAATCAGCTTCTTATTCAACTTCCGCCATTATATTATGATGGACTGAGAAAAAGGGGAAGGACACAAATTTTTCTTTTTTGGTGCTTTTGGACAGGTCATAGTATACACTGGTGGGATTCTTTTCCTTGTCTTCGCCGCCATGACATTGATCGAGATTGTGAGTTGAAAAGGCGCAACTATGACAGGCATGGTGTTGCTATTGCCCCCATTCTTCAGTTTTTGTAGGCATCAGAATGTCTCAGGTCCAGCCATGCTCCAGTTAGCACAAAGCATAAAGGAGTTTGATTTGTTTGGATTTGTTATCATCGTTGTATCAATCAAACTAACATTTGTTTAGTAAATAAAACTTGCACGCTCTCCTCTATGTAAATTTCAAGCAGCTCGATTCATCTGCCTGGGACTTGTGATTTGTCTAGTTTTAATGTAAAATTGGTGAGAAAGTACAGGCATTTTTGGCCTTTTGGTTTGTCTATGTGGGAAGCTTAGCTCGAAGTAGGGATTTTTTATTTGATAATCCAGAACATCAACAACCCACATGTCATATGAGTGATAACGGAGCCTACTAAACTTGGGTTATCTGCATACTAATCATCAAGGACTTTGTCCTGATGCAGTGCCCGGCTAGCTCAAAGTAGGGATAGTTGGATAGATAATTGAGAAAAGAATGGAGGATTAGGGATTATGGGCTGGTGGTTCACCTTTATCGCCGCCGTGCGAATTAGCCGTTGGTTGTGCATCGCCGATATGGGCTTCTCCTCCACTCATGGAGATCTTCAATCCTCCTCCCATCAGGCTCACATGCACTTTTATTTCTCGAATTACAATTCCTATGCCAACAGATTGTGTTTGTCATGGATGGATCAACATGCTCCTCAAATCCAGGTTCGGGCGTTTTCGGGCTAAGATCAGGTGATTAGGGGGTCCCTTAGTCACATGACTAAATCAATCTCAGCCATTGAGTCTCATTAAAATTTAATGGTTGTAATTGATCTCATTTAATGAAGGGTAATTTAGTAATTGCAGTTTTATTTAATTAAAAATTAGTACAAAATAAAAAAAAAAATCCTCCCTGCTTGTGAGTTTTCCGGCTGTTTCGATTCCACCTCCGGCTGACGGCGGCTGTTGGGTTCTGGCAGGCTTTTCCCCCTGTTGGATTCCGGCGTCCTAGTACCACCAGCGGTGGATTTTTATTCCCCATGGATGGGAACTCCATTCCCCATTTTGCGCAGCTAGAGAGAGAGAGAGAGAGAGAGATTTTTGCTGACCGGAGGAAACTTTCCAGCGACGGCGGAGAAGGACTTTCCGACGATAGTGTTGGATTTGTGATATTTGTTGACCTATTTTGTAATGTTTGTTCGATTCGGTTTGTAATGTTTATCATTCTTGTTCGTCATTTTTTTAGCGACATTTTGTACGATTAGTATGTTTTGTACTGTTTGTCGGTTTATTTTGTAATGTTTGTAAGCTTTATTATTTTGTAATGTTTGTAAGCTTTGTTATTTTTGTGCACCATTTTTATCATTTTTGTCAACCATGCTTGTAATGGTTTTTATGTCTAAAAAACAACCTGGTTGACTTTTGGATGAAACTCCTCTATATAGGGATGAAGCCTCCAAAGTCAACCCGGGTGTTTTTCCAGTTTGTATGTTTTGTCGGTCTAGTTAGTCATTTTTGTCCACAGTGTTCGTAATGTTTGTATGTCTAAAAAACAGCCGGGTTGACTTTGGGAGGGAGCCCTCTATATAGGGATGGAGCCTCCAAAGTCAACCCGATTGTTTTTTTTTTGGTATGTTTGTATAGTTTGTCGGTGTAGGTTGTATTATTTGTACACTTCATATGTTTGTAATGTTTCTAAATCTGTTTGTATGTTTAGTCGTTCTAGTTTGTAAAATTGTAATACTTGTATGTTTGTATTGTTTGTACTGTTTGTATACTTCTTAATTTTTCATAATATCCAAATTACCCCTCCCACTAATTAAAAATCTCTTCCCACTTCTTAATCGTTGGATTGGAGTGTCCAGATCTAATGGCTAGGAGGGGCTTAGTCAAGTGACTAAGGACCCCCTCTTAGTCATGGGATCCGCTCTCGGCGTTTTCCCCGTGAGGGTTGCTCGTCTGAATTTAGTCTAGCGACGACACCTAGTTCCTTTCAAATGCTGATTATGAGCGTACTTGCGAACATCGACCCAGGAGAGCAAGGGCATTTCTTGTCTACTTAAAATCTGCACTTCTTCAGCTGCTGCAACTCCACAATCCAATCCCGTCGTATCTCTTTTTGTACTGAAAATCGAATCCACAACTCCAGATTTTTGGTCTTGTATCGAGAATTTTCTGGCTTTGATTCTCGTACTCTTGGTGCGATTGGCGTATATCTGTTTGTTTTTTCTTCCTTGGCAGTAGGTTTTTCTTCTACTTTCCATTCATTTGGTCGTGAGGGGCCTGGTATATGCTGCTATGGGTTGGTTGCTCTGCAAATGCTCTTGTTGGTGGTGTTTGTTTTGTCTATGTTCTGAATTGATAGGACTCATTTTTAAGTGGTTTGATTGGTTGAATGACTTCATGGGACTGCTTGTCCATTTCACTTACACTTGTTTAGCGAAATTAAATATGGAGAAGGTGATCGTTCGATTATGGAGGGTTTGGTATATTCCTTGCACTTGTTTCTGGGTTTTTGTTTGGTGTTTTGGTTTCTTTGCTCGGCACTATCAGGCGAAAGGAAGCAAGTGCAAGATGGAGGATGTACCCATGGAGATTGATCAGGTGGTCGAATTCGAAATGGAGGAGGTGGCAGAGAGTATGGAACGTGCTAAGCTTAGCTTGTTGGGGAAGTTATTCATGGAGAACCAAACTAGGCTCAACACCAACCAGTGGATTGGGATGGGCATGTGGAACTGTATGGTTACGGTTCTGGCAGCAGAACATGGGCTGAACCAATTCTTGTTCCAGGATGAGAAGGCGATGGAGTGGGTGCTCCGGTGCATGACTCCTACCGTCACTCTAGAAAATGGCAAAGTGTAACCACATCTTAAAGTGTAGTATAGCGGGTTTGGGTTTTAATGTCAACACTGGTCCTAAGTGTGATGACTACTCCGTAAGTTCTTATTATTTAGCAGTGAAACTTTAAGGGTCGTTTGGAGAACAGGATTCAGGACATGGATTCACTGAATCCGTAGATTTTGTAGAAAGTTATGTTTTTTTGTTGCTTTTTGTATTGTGGATTCTAGCTTCAGAGATTTCAAATCTCTAAAATCTGTGGATATCAAATCTCTCAGAATCAGAGGGATTCTATATCTTGATTCGTGAGATTTTTTCTCTCCTAATTTTTCTCTTTCTTTTATTTATTTATCACATGAAATATATTTATCAACAAAGTTTTTTATATTTCTCGAACCACTCTAATTTTTTTAATAAGGATAAACATGTTATTGAATATAAAATTAAATTTTTTATTTTACTTGAATGTTAACAATCACAGTTACCAAACAATAAACATTTTAAAATCTGTTTTTAACAATCCGAAGAGTTAGAATCTTTAGATTGTTGAAAATCTGTAGATTTAAACTCATATTCTCCAAACGACCCCTTAGTGAAGATCCAAACAAGCAAAGCAGTTAAAAGGTTGTTTTCAAGTCGAGAGAGGTCACCCGGATATGGTTCCTCCTAGACTGCAGTTAAGTCGGATTGTAATTTACCAAGTTCAATTTCAATGATAGTTATACTACGGGAGGTTCTTAAACATTCTGCAGTCTCGACTAAAGGTCTCCAGACCCTCTCAATCTAAGTCCCCAGCGGGCGACTAACCTCCAATGGAGTAAACAGATTGAGGCCCTAATGAACCAAACCTCCACTACCGAAGTAAATTCGGTACAGAATAGTGAATTGACTCCTCGACTAAAGTCGTCAATTCACTACCTTCTTTTTCCTTAAGAAGCTGTCTGTCGCGATCCCCGGCCTGAATACCCGGTCGGGTATTTCAGGTGGAGGTCTGGGATTCTCAAAACGCACCGTGTGGGGCAAGGGGTTAATCCCTGGTCAAGGTCAAGAATACCCGACCGGGGATTTAAGCTTCACGATTGGGCCCCCCTCTGCTTCTCAGACGCTCAAAAGTCCTTTCCCCGGTCTGCTCCGATTAATACCCGGCCGGGTATTTTGCTCATGGCAGGGTATTTTGCCCTTCCAGCACACTTCAACTCAAACGTGCTCCTTCCGACCCGAAACTCGTTTCTTCGCCTCGATGTCACCGCCAAGCCCTGAAATATGACATAAACGCACAACCTAGCGTGAAATCGGTTTAAAACACGAGAATCAACATCTCAAACAGCTCAAGAATAGGGGTAAAAACATATACAATCAATGGTCTATCAAATTCCCCCACACTTAACCGTTTGCTTGTCCCCAAGCAAACCTAACTCAAACCAAAGAAACTCTCCAGACCTCTATAGCAACAAACAACCCCGTTCGTCGGTAGAGGATTTCCTAGATCATAAAGCAGCTTACCAGGTCAACTGGTCTTCTAAGACGTCCCCTATCTCTCTCAACGCGAGTACTAGACTCAAGCCAAGATCATGAGAAGAAGTAGAAGTAAGACAGTCAGTTCATGGATAAAGGGACTCACACCATTCACAACCAAGGACTCGTTGTACCGGGGTGCTCTTTCACTTCATTTCACCGTTGGAACCCCCTTTTCACTTTCATTTTACTTTTCTTTTTTTTTCTTTTCATTCACTTGGCGGGGGTTCCAACTGCAGTCTTTCGCATGGTCGACCCTTATTATAGAAGCAAGAGCAATTTCTGTACATCTGACGCTCGCCAGAGTACTTCTTTTAACTCATTTTCCTCAACTCATGTGGAGGGTCAATGAAATAAATTGGGGTCAGAAGCTCTATCCGTGCCCTTAAAAACACATCCGCGAGTAGGCAAACCGTTCAACGGGTGGAAGTTTTACTTGTACTAGAGACAGCTTAGCTTCACCTTGTAGGAGTACCCCACTAAGGATCACTAAAATCTCTTCCAAACCTGATTTTGTGCAATGAACGGTGCCACACACGTTGGGCTTACCCCATGTTTAAGATTTCAATGATTTCGACATGGAGGACCAACTGCTTTTCATTTCCCACATGAGCACCCTGTTCGATACACGAGTCCATAACACATCCAAACAGAGTC